CAGCTCAGGGGGACTAGGGCAGGGGCGGGGAGCTTACCCCCAGCTCAGGCCCCTCCTGGCCAGCTCCACCTGGGCCAGGCGGTGGTCGCTCAGCACCTGCACCCGCGTGACGGCCGCCAGCGGCCTGTGGCGGTGCGCAAACTGCATCACTTTGTGCTCCTGGGCGTGGACGTGGAAGTGCTGTGAGTCGGAGCTGACCTCCATCTGGGGACAGGGCGCCAGTGACCCTCGGCCTGCCCAGGGCCTGGGCCCTTCCTGCTCCTGGTCCAGCTCCGCATGCCCTCTGAGTCCCCCAAGCACAGCCAGGCGGGCCATGTGGGCCCCCCGCACGCAGGCTCGCCCGGATGGGAGCTGAGTGTCCCCGTCCTCGCTCCTCAGATCCTGTAAACGTCCCCTGGGTCCCAGGCGGGGACTGCGGTGTCACTGGGCCCCAGGGGACACAGCGAGCCTGAGAAGCAGCCAGCTGGCCCCGTGAGTCCAGGGACGCCCCACGCCTGCCTCCCTGCCCCACAGGCCTCCCCCGCTCCCCGTCACCTCAAAGGGCTCCCCCAGTGTCAGGGGGAAGACGCTGGACACCTCCTCCTGGCCCCAGCGGCCAGCCTGGAAGTTGTTGCCCACCATGGTGGCACTGGAGAATCGGGGCTTGATGTGGAAGGCGATGTCCCCCGCCTCGGACAAGAAGTTGATCTCAAACCTGGGGGGCATCATGCGGTCATGAGGGCAGCAGGCGGCCGGGGAGGCACCCCACCCCAAGCCGAGGAGGGGCCCTGGGAGGCGCTGTCTCTTACTTGTCCTCTCCGGCATCAGTATGTCCCTGGACCAGCAGGCTCCAGCCTGGGACCAGGCCCTCTGCACAGAAGGCTTCGAACTGCGGGCAAACAAGGGGGACAGAGGCCCGGGGTCCACGAAGGCCACCCCCAGCCTGCCCGCCCCAGCACATGCTCCCTACAGGCCCTGGACCCTGGGCATTGCGCTCCCTCCGAGATGGGGTGGCGGGGGGCTCAGCGTGGGGGTCCGATGGGAGGGAGGCTCTGTGGGCGGGGAGCCCCAGCTGGCCCTGACCCTTCTCCCCGAATCCGGGCCTCGCTCACTTGCAATGCCATCTCTCCAGCCGCTGCGGCCTGGCAGAGCGAGCCCCGAGATATAGGCCGGGGGCTGGGCGGGGTGCCGAGCCCCACCCCCTAAAGGCCGACAGGGCACTCTGCCCTTCCCCGCCCCCAGGCCCTCACTCCTCCCTTCTTCCTGGCCTCCCATGGCCCCACAGGCCCCCCATTCAAGCACCAGGGACGGGGGGACAGGCTCAGACCCCATTTCCTCAGGGTCCCATCTGGCTCCCGGACTTCACTTCTTAGGGTCTCGCAGACGCCCTGGGAGGCAGCTTCTCCCCCATCCTCGAGGGTCCAGCCTGGACTCGGCCTCCAGGGTCTCGACCTGGATCCCAGGGACACGAGCCCACTGGTTTGGTCAGTGAGGTGGCGGGGGGCAGGCTGGCCTACCATAACCTCTGCCCCGGCCTTCGGGAAGCCAGGTCTGACCACCTGACCCCCTGGGGCCTCCAGCCTCTGTCGCCTGCCGCAGCCCTCCCCACCCCGCTCCCCCGCGGCGGCCCCAGCTGGCTCAGCTGCCCCTGGCCGAGGTGGGATTAGGCTGGGCGCCTGTTCAGCGCATTCCAGAGCAGGCAGAAGGGGTGGGGAGGGCCTCTTTTGCACCCCGCGTCCTGCGGCCCCTCTTTGCTGAGCTGGCGTGAGGGCCAGACTGGGTCTCCCCAAGCTTTCAAGGCAGCTGTGGGCACCTCTTGGCTGCATTGTCCAAGGAACCGGCCGGACGAGGAGCCGGGCTGGGCGCGTGGAGTACCGGGCGCCTGCCGTGTGAGCGTGCGGGTGCGTGTGTGTGAGCACGCGAGCGCGGTGAGTGCGTGTGAGTGTGCACGTGGAGCTGTGGTGAGCGTGCGGGTGCGTGCGTGTGAGCACGCGAGCGCGGTGAGTGCGTGTGAGTGTGCACGTGGAGCTGTGGTGAGCGTGGAATGTGAGCGTGCGGGTGCGTGTGTGTGAGCATGCGAGTGCGGTGAGTGCGTGTGAGTGTGCACGTGGAGCTGTGGTGAGCGTGCGGGTGCGTGCGTGTGAGCACGCGAGCGCGGTGAGTGCGTGTGAGTGTGCACGTGGAGCTGTGGTGAGCGTGGAGTGTGAGCGTGCGGGTGCGTGTGTGTGAGCATGCGAGTGCGGTGAGTGCGTGTGAGTGTGCACGTGGAGCTGTGGTGAGCGTGGAGTGTGAGCGTGTGGGGGAGGTGCACACAGGAGCCCACGCGTGCACGAGGCGGGCGTGAGTGGCCCCCGCCATCTTGGTCAGGCCCCGGCCTCAGCCCCGTTCTTGCCTGTGGCTCCTGGCAGGGTGACCCTGGAGCCTGGCCTGTTCTCACGCGCTGGTGCAGTCAAGTGCCTGGTCGGGTATTTTTTTTGGGGGGTGGGGCGGGGCTCTACAGTGTGGGACAGTGCAGAGGCCACAGCTCAGTGCACCAGCCAGGCCTGCAGGGGGCAGCCCTGGGCAGCAGAGGCGCTGCAGGGCCAGCCCGCCCGCTGTGGTCCCGGCTCAGACAGCCGGCCCGCCCGGCACATCCACATCTCCGCCAGCCTCGCTGTCCCGGGGTCCGCAGACGCCTGGCACCCCACTAGAGGAGCACAGCAGGGGGCGGGCCCCCGTCCTGCCTCCCCACCCCCCTGCCCTGTCCCCAGTCGGAGGGTGCCCGGAGTGGGCAGGCCTAGCATCGGCTGCTGGCGGGGGAACACGGAGCCTGGGTACGGTGTGGGCCAGCGTCCAGGGCGCAGGGCCGGGCAGAACACACAGTCAGGGCTCCGGAGCCGGCTTCCGCAGCTCGGTGACCTTGAGCCAGCAGCCTCTGGGCCCCAGTGTTCTCAGCTGCACACTGGGCTCAGCGGTCCTGCTCCCGCTGCCCCCCTCTGCTCCCGTGCCTGTCCCCTGGGTGGGGGAGGGCGGCCTGGGGCCACCACAGCCCTGGACCATCATCTCCTCCAGGGTCAGCAAGGGTGCCAGTGGAGTGACCTGGGGAGTCAGCTGACTGACTGCAAGGGCCCAGGGCTGGAGCTTGGCCCCCAGGGGCCCTGGACAGGCACCCGTGTACTGCTGCCCCGGGGAGACCCTGGCCTGGGGTGAGGAGGCCTCAGCACCCCCTGATTTGGGCAGGCCCGCCCCTCACTGAGCCCAGACCCCCCATCTCAGCTGTGGGGGCTTGTGTTGTAGGTACCCCCAGGGGCCTCAAGGGGGCAGGGGTGAGCTCTGCCTGTTTGCCAGCCTGGAGGTCTCAGAAGGCCACACCTGGGAGGAGGCAGGCTCCGGGCCTCCACCTGCACCACGACACCTGTACCTGCATGAGTGCACACCTGGCCAGGCCTGTGGTCTCGCCTTGTCTGACTGTGGCTTTGGAAGCTCGCCCACACGGGGTGGGAGCTAGGAGTGGCCAAAGCTCTGTGACACCAAGCACTCAGGAGGCCCCGACAGAATTGGAGGATGGAGAGAGGGACACGGGGGCCCTGCGTGGCCGGCTCAGCCCAGGAGGCACGCCCCGACGTCATGGAGCCTGGGTGGGACCCCAGCAGGGCCTCATGGGTCGGGGTGCTCCGTGGGCAGTGCCTCTGCCCTGCACTGCTGGCCGGCCAAAGCTGGCGCTGTGAGAGCAGCCTGCCCACCCGGGGTCCAGGATCCAGAAGCCGCCCTCCCCAGCCCGGATGCGTGGTTTTGCCCCGGGCAGTCAGCTGTCACGGGCTCCTGAGGACATGGCAGGAGCTCCACCCAGCTCCAGGGAGGACCTGCACCTGGATGGCCACCTGGGTGGCTCGCCCAGCCTCGGCCCCGCAGCCTCCCTCACCAGGTGGCGCCAGCACAGCACTGCTGCTCAGAGGTGCCGGGAGCTAGACCCCGCCCCACGGCACGGTGCTAGCCACCCTCTGCCCGTGCCCGGCTCTCTGCAAGCTCAGCACGAGCACCGCGCCCAGCACCAGGAGGCCGAGACTGTCATCCCCGTGTTACAGAGAAGGGTGCAGGAGCTCAGAGAAGTTAAGTGACTTGCCGAAGGTCACACAGCTGGGGAGTAGCAAAGCCAGGATTCAAACCCAACAGTTTGCCCCCTGGACACAGTCCTCAGGCTGGATGGAGGGCTATCAAGGTCGGCTTCCTGGAGGAGGGGGCACCTTAAGTGGGTTTTGAAGAATGAGTAGGAGTTAGAAGGGGGCAGGGGAGGGTGCTGCAGGGAGTGGCACAGCAAGAGCGGGGCCCAGCAGCGGGGCTTCAAGGTCGCGCAGGGTCTGACACACCCCAGTGGCCCCAGGGGTGTCGGCCACAAGTCCTAGGAACAATCTAAGGAGGATCGCCCCGTCGTTCTGGGTGGCCAGCACAGCCTTCATGGGCCTTCATGGGCCTCCTGGCCTCGGGCGTCGCTGTGCCGACTTCAGCAACGAGGAAACTGGGGTCCGAAGAAGAAAGCGCCCCACAGCGCCACATGAGGGGTGGCGGCCCCGGGGGGTTGGTGCAGGCCCTGGGCGCCCAGTCCAGGGCCCCTTGCAGCCCCCCGTCCCCTCGCACCCCGCATCCCTGTCCTAGGGTGAGCACCAGCCTGGCCCGCCAGTGGCGATTCTGGTGCTGGGCCAGGCTGTCCCCAGAGCCCCTCTCAGGCTGCAAGGCCCCCCCCAGAACCCCGTCCCGGACTCGTGCCTGATAGCTGTCACAGATGGCGAGGCCAGCCTGGAGTTCTCAGCCCTGCTCGTCAGAGACGGGGCGCCGCTCCCACAGGCAGCGCAGCGCCAGCCCCGGGCACGGCTTCGGGCCAGCTGTCCTCCGGGTGGGCGCTCGGCGGCCTTGGCACGCAGGGGCTCGCTGTCCTCCCCACTGCTGGGCTGCGCCCTCTGGGTCAGGCTGCAGAGCGAGGACGGCTTGAAAGCACCGGGCCGGCATGACACAGTGGGGAAGCTGAGGCCCAGGAGGCGAGGGGCTTGCTGGGAGACAGTGTGGGCAGCCGCGAGGGGCACCGAGCTCCGGCCCCTGCTGCCCCACCTTGGCAGTGGGGCCCACCCCAGGCCAGGCCTTAGTGCTCACATTGTCACACGCCCCAGGGGACACTACGACCCATTCTACTTCACCTCCTGCTTTGTAGATGTGGTAACTACTGCTCAAAGGGGAGACATAGTAGCCCCAGTCCTCGCTCTGAGTCCCACCTTGCAGGGAGGGGGCCGGGCTGGGGGCAGGGCAGAGCCTCCCCTAGGCCCCCCATTTTCCCGGGTCCTCCAGCTCTGCTCCCCGGGTCTCCCTCTGCCATCGTCGAAGTAAGCTCACCCCCAGTGGCGTGAGGGCTTCCACTACGCTGACCGGGACACAGGCCGCTGTGGGCAGTGCATCTGCCGCCCCGTGAGTCACTGCTGGGAACAAGCCTCCAGGGGTCACTAGGGAGCTTGGGCCAGAGCACACGCCTGGGAGACTTCACAGGCCTTGGTGGTGCCGGGGCTGAACCTCCTGGTGGCCCTCTTGGGAGGGGCTGTGGGGGCCTCGAGCCAGTCCCCACGGTGAGTGACCCGTGATGGCGGCCATCGCTGAGGAAGCTCGACGAGCCTGCTCGGCCATCTGGGCTCTGTGCCACCGCACGACAGCCGGTGGGCGGCCTCGCGGCCGGGCAGGGCAGGGCAGCCGGCGGCCGGCTGACATCTGGCCGGGAGGGGACACCGTAATGACTCTTCCAGAAGGAGGCTGGGCCCCGGCAGCCACCAGGGACGCAGGCTGCGCTGGCCTTGCAAACAGGTGGCGGCAGCCAGGACCTGAGGAAGGGAGGGTTGGGGACCCAGTCAGACAAGACAGCGGCTGGGGATACGGGGCCGGAATGGAGACGGGGTGCCCGAGCCTCGAGGGCCCTGGAGCCCCCGCCCCCAGCGCCAGGCCGGCTCTGTCGACAGGGGGCCACCGCTGGCTGCTCTGTGACCCGGGGCCACGACCTTCCCCGGGGCTGCGGGGGAGGGGAGACCAGACCCACTTCATCCCCAAACATTTACAAGGCGCCGACTGCAGAGGGAGAGACGGAGAATAAATAGCTGAGCAAATGGAATAT